TCCCCTGCTCAAGCTCTCTTTATAAATAAATAAATAAATAAATAAATAAATAAATAAGCCAGCCAGCCAGCCAGCCTGCTGAATATACACAGTTACCTCCCAAACTATTCTAGTAACTGTGAAGGGATAAAAAGGTATGAACTCACAAAGACACAGGGGATAGGAGAGGAAGCCCTAGCAGACAAGAAACATGCCCACCAAATGTCAGATGGCAGCAAGATGATGGAACAGCACAACTCTCTCCACTCAGCTAAGAGCAGGGGAGGAGGCATCAGGAAGCCCACCTACTGGTACCATAAACAAAGGTGCCCAGGATGACTCAGGAATCAAGAACCCGGGAACCTTTGGAGGAGGTAGGGAGACAAGGACAAAAAGCAAGAGGCCTAGTGAAAACAGGCTTAAGGAACATTGGAGCCCAGGCCCCTCCCAACTTGGGGCAGCCTTAGCACTGCTCCTCCCTTGAGGCCTCTCTGAAAACACTAGGAACTGGCGAAAGCAAGAGGATTTACAAACCTATCCTCTTCCTTCTCAGAATTTGAGGGAATCCTACTGAGCCTGGAGAAACCAAGCACGCATACTCTTCCCCAAAGCGGAATGGGTGCTCCCTTCTGTGGGGTTTCCCAGAGTCTGCACTCCAGCAGCAATAGCCCTAGGCCTCCCAGCAAGTGGGTGTCTGTGCATGCATGAGGACATGGGCGAGTAGCCTCTAGCTCAGTGATCCATCCATCTCCTGAGGGCCCAAGGAGCATGCGGGTCCTCCAAAAGATGAGTAAGTCATGGCTCCTGACTCAGGAAGTTCAGAGGGAAGAGAAGTGAGAAGAACCCAAGACCCCAAACCAGTGACATCTGTGCTTTGGCTATTGGCACAGATGTCATGGGGACACAAAGGAGATGCCAGGGAGGGGGTGGCAATGGAAGGAAAAACTTTACTGGTGGCACAGGCTGGAGGCTTATATGTTTGCTTATTTTTGCAAATGAGAAAACATCTGCATAGTACCTAGATGGCAAGAATTTCATCAGAAGCTCCTGGAAGTCTACTTTCTCTTCTTTCTTGCACTTAGTGTTTCGTACACGGGCAGAACGCCGCTTCGCGGTCTCTCCACTCTCTTCTGCAATCTTCTTCCGTTTTACTCCTTTCTTGGATTTATCTCCCCCAGAAACATCACCTTCACAAAGAGTGCAAACTGAAATCTTATAAGGGGCAGAGGTAAGAAAACGCACCAAAGAGGCACATTAGTGCCCCTAATTTTCTAATTCCACCAGTGTATTTCATCTTTATTTCTGACATTCAAGTAACTGTTCGTCTTTTAACAAGAGTCCTGAATAAAGTTAATTTCAAACTCAAAATACTTAACTCATACCTTGCTTGAATTCACAGAACCCAAAAGCCAAATCTCAAGATTATTCCCACAGCTACAGAACACCAGGGTCTCAAAGACTCCCTGTCCACCCCCACCCCACCCCCACTGGCTGCAAGTGCCTCTGGCGCCTCAGTGGATGTACCTGGGACATCACAGAGCAAACAGCAGCGACATTGATTCTGCCCACTGCCCAGGACCTTCTAAGCACCCAATGATAGGACACAAGCAAGAGAATCGTATGCATTACACAGAGAGCAGAGGAGTGTTATGTGTGATTGTCATGTATGATTAAGCAAAAAAGTTAGAACCAACATACATGTTCATTCAGAAACTTCTTTAACTGCTAGATATTCTTTTTATCAGGGACACAGAAATCAAGAAAAGGCTTGGAACTTTTGTCTGAAATTTTTTTATAACTTCATTGACATTGATTATAAAAAAATCAATAAAACCATTAAAAAATATATTACCATATAGTGGTAACTTTGCAGACTGTTTTTTTCAATATATGAAATTTATTGTCAAATTGGTTTCCATACAACACCCAGTGCTCATCCCAAAAGGTGCCCTCCTCAATACCCATCACCCACCCTCCCCTCCCTCCCACCCCCCATCAACCCTCAGTTTGTTCTCAGTTTTTAACAGTCTCTTATGCTTTGGCTCTCTTCCACTCTAACCTCTTTTTTTTTTTTTTTTCCTTCCCCTCCCCCATGGGTTTCTGTTAAGTTTCTCAAGATCCACATAAGAGTGAAACCATATGGTATCTGTCTTTCTCTGTATGGCTTATTTCACTTAGCATCACACTCTCCAGTTCCATCCACGTTACAGACTGTTTTTTAAGGTCAATGTCACCCTCAATGTCAGCGCACAGCAGTGCCCAGTGCTATGGCACATGGCCAGCAACAGGGCAGAACCAGCAAAGGGACCTGCCAGCTCACATATGACAAGTGGGAAGAGCAACCTTTATGCCAGGACCTACTAGCCAGGCGTTTAGCAGTCCTAAGCAGCTGCATCCCTGAGCTCTGACCCCCTCCCCTCGGGGGCTTCAGTGCTGAAGTGACCCCAGACCAGCAGCAGCCCTGTGGCCAAGCCTCCCCTGCAGAGCTAGGGGCTCCCACCTAAACCTTGAGCCAGGAGCATGAGCAAGACCCATCTCTCTGGAGAGGCCAGGGCATCACAACACTCATTCTTGCCCAGCAAATGGGGCCTCCCCAGAAGTGACCCCAGGAGGTTTCCTCACCTGCAGGAACACCAGTCTCCAGCAGGCTGGGACTATGCAGTGGGAAGCTGGCTGCAGCCACAGGGGCATAGGAGACCACGGGTTCTGCCACAGTCACAGCTGGATTGGCAGGGATGGGGCTTGGTTGGATCACGCTGACAGGTGCCACCACCACAGAAGACACCAGAGGCTGGCTGGGGTCCTGATAGTCAGACAGGTCGATCCTCTTGCCGAGGCTGGGCCGCAAGGGCTCACAGGTGGTGAGGTGGTTGTACATGGCCAGTAAACTCTCCCCGAGACACTTCCAGCTGCAAGAAAAGGGTCACCACACCTGGTCAGCACCCATAATCAGGTGCTCCAAGCCTGTGGAGAGGCGGCAGAACTGGCCCCATGACTGCCATCTCCATGAGGGCAGGCCGAGTGCTCACGGTTTTGTCGTCATCGGTATGGACAAAATCCCGAGTCTAACACCACTGAGGTGGAGCAGACGGAGCAGGAGGAGCAGGGCCCAGCAGCCTCCTGCCCTCACCCTGGCACAAGCCGTGAAGCAGCTCAGGTACCTTCAGACTCCACCAAGCAGGCATGAAAACCACTGACTCACTTCAAAAGCTCCTTCCCTACAAGGTCGAATTTTTAATTCATCTGTGGCATTTCTCTGATGCCACTAATCCTATTTTTGGTTGGGGGAGAGGAAGGTGAAGAGGGGCTGTTAACAGGGATGTGGTCGAAAGCGGCTGAATGGGCCCTCGGGCAGGGCCCCTTGGGAGCAGCATCTCAGTGGGTCCCCACCTGGGCCGAGGCCTGCAGCATGGCAAACCAAGACCACTGTGTGCTGTGGTGTGTGCTATGTCGTATGTCGTATGCTGTGTGCTATGTGCTATGACAGGTGTCTGTCTTACTGTGGTGTGGTATGATATACTGTACGCTGTCTCTCGCTTCATGCTTTATGTTGTTATATATTGTGTTGTGGTCCGATATGGTGTGGCACGATATATCCACCCACCCATCTCTGATTGGCTTCCCATGCTCTCAGGCTAAAAATCACACCCTCAGCCTCAGGGCGCCACATGGCCTCGTCCAGCCAACTGACCCAGCCTCACCTCACACTCCACCCCCACCACCCCCACCATGCTAGCTTTCTTTCGATTCTACAAACAAAATCATACCCCTACATACCACAGGAACTTTGCACAGGCTTCTTTCTACCCCCGATGAGGCTCTCACTCACATCCCAGCCTCTCTGCCACTCCTGTCAGACTCCAGCTCTAGCACCTAAGCCTTTCCCTGAACCCCAAAGCAGTGCACACTCCATTATGAGCTCTGCACAAGGTGCTGTGCTACTCTCCTCGAAGGCTCCTCAGCATGAGGCATGTGCTTTTTCTTCCAGGTGACCGACTACCCCTCAAATGCCCCCAGAGAGGGACCAGGTCCCACCATACTGAGTCCCCAGCACAGAGCACAGTGCTTGGCATGAAGCTGGCACCCAGGAAATGCTATGGAAAGAATACAAATGGAAGATGCTTTAAAATCCAGAACCTAACCAAATGGAGGCTCCTAGGACTAGAAGGGATTTCTTACCTGTTCTTTTCCAGTCTTCAGTAAGGGTTACGTGCAGATGGGGAAAAATTTGCTCACCATCTGTGTTATATCTAATGCCTTAAATACACAATTTCATATACCTAGGCAATGAATAGACCAAGGGGTGGCAAACTGTGGCCCACAGCCTGTTTTGTACAGCCCACAAGCTAAGAACAATATTCGCATTTATAAAGGGTTGTTACACACACATACCCGAGAAGACTATACAACAGAGATGAGACCTGGCCCACAAAGCCTAAAGCATCTACCATCTAGTCCTCTGTGGGAGGAGTGTGCTGAGGCCTATAATAGACAGTGGTTATTTTAAAAGCCCCACCCACCCTCCCAGAGAGAGAGAATCTCCGCACTCTTCCTCTAATAACCCAATCCTGGACTTCACTACCAACTAGTGCTTCCTCCAGCCAAGCCCACTCCCCTCATGCTTCCATTTGGCCTTCCGCCTGCATGAGGGCAGGCTGGACACTGGTTTCACAGCTTCTCTTCTCTAGTCACATCACCAGGATGCTCTCCAGCATTCTCAGGCCTTTCTCTCCTTCACTGTAACAGGGAGACATCCAGGGTCCTTCCCAAAGTCCCAAACCTCTTAGCTAGGGAGCCCACACACTCAAACAGAATGGGGCTCCTGACCCAGCTGACAAAATAATGGGAAGGCCATCTGACTAGATGGCAGAGCAGCCCCAACTTTCCAACCGTCTCAGGGTCCGGGCGGGAAGACATTCCTGGCAGACTCAACAGGTGGAAACATACCAGCAAGTCATACCATGGATCGAAAGCTAGCTCCTCCTGAGCGTGTGCCAGGTGCTGGCTCTGTGCTGGCCAAAGCTGCTCTATTTCAATATCATGACAACCCTACAAGAGACGGTTGCTCTCCCTGTTTTTAGGGAGTGGCATGTAGTATCCCAGGGTCACCCACTTATGGGTGCCAACACCAGCCCCGGGTCTGCCTGATCCAGGGCAGAAGCTGCAGACCACTACGTGACAACACCTGAGTAGGAGAACACTGCTGTCAAAGCATACTAAATTTAAAGATTCAGGATTCAACGTCAGAATTTTAAAAACAAAAACTGCACGCCAGATCTCACGAGGGGGCAGAATGACCCCAACTCTGGGAGGCTGCCAATACCAGTTTTCTCTTCCCTGGGGACTGCTCACACACTGTGGGATTCACAAAGGCTATCCTGAAGCCCATCCTTCAGTGCATCCCACATAGCCCTTGAGGGAGACCATGGGTTCAAGAGCCACAGAACCCACACCTGGGATCAACTCCAGACTCTCCATTCACCATTTCACTGCTCTGAACCCAGTTTCCTCCTGTCCAGTGCTTGGCAAATGTTAGTTTCATTTTCCCCTCCGGGAAGGGCAGACTGAGAAGGGGTTTACAGGGAGGTGGCAGGTGGCTGGCATCAAGAACGGCAAGAGCAAAGAGAGACTTAAATGAGGCACACTTGTGAGAGACTTGGCCTGCTTCTTGGCAACCAGCAAGTTAAGTGCACGCCTCTAGGCATCTGTCCAACGTGGACCCAGCTCCCACTCACACCATCAGCCCGGGCTCAGGCCTCGGGGCCTCTCCCTCCTGTGCAGGGTCCACCCGCCAACCCAGCAACCCCAGAGACCCAGATGACGACCTACGTGAAGAAGGGGATGGGCTGCACCAACTTCAAGTCTGGCTCCTTCTCCCGCACGGTCAACGCTTGCCTCTTCTTCCGCAGCCCCAGGGCCTCCTCTACAATGGCCTTCGTCTCAGCTGCGCTCACTGACACATCATGGATTGACATGTCACTAAAACCATGTAAGACACAGAAATTATAATGTCACAAACTAGAGCCAAGGCTGAAATTTTACAGACAGGGATGCAGTTAAGTTAATATCCTTTAATCTGTATTCATTCTTCTTACAAACAAAATAACCCCTTGAGTCTGGCCTCTAAGGGCAGTAATTAGCATTCTTAATACCCACATACACTAGAAGTGACTAATACCCTTTGTTCCTTCTACAATTCAAAATTGAGCAAAGGGTTTTCATATGTATTAACAATACGACAGTAATGTCAGAAAAGCCACAGAAAAATATAACCTTGCTCTCAATTATGTACAGAGAATTTTAAAAGAACTTTCCTATCCTGTCCTATCCAAAAAAGTCATCAGACCCCCCAAACTCACCAAAGTCCCTGGTATATCCAAACTAGAGAAAGGGTGGGTGGGGGCTTTGAGGCCTCAGGTGCCCTCACACAGACACACCTCCACCTGAGGTGGCCCAGCAATACCTGCCCTCCTGCCCAGGGTGTCCTGATGCCTCTCAGCAGGGCTCTACCACAAAGTCACTTGCTTATGGATTTATTTTTCCATTTTATCTCTCTCCAAAGACGGTTAACACCATCAGGATAGATATGAACAAGAAGTATAATCTCACAAGGGACAGACAGAGATAAATATCCATCACCAGCTGAGTTCCAAGGGCCAAGGACCAGAGGACAGAGGAGTTGGTTCATCTGGAGGGTTGGGGGAAGAAGACAGCCAGAGTTTGGAAAGCTAACCAAAGGTGACCTGTGAGCTGGAACACAAAGATGGAGCAATGGCACAACAGGTGGAGAGGAGGAAAGATGCCTTCCAGGTGAGGGCATGAGGGAGCCAGGGCACAGGGACAGGTCAGTGCACAACGGGGCCAGGCCTGGAATCTGTTGGGGACCCCAGGGCACTCTTCTCCCCCGGGAGGGAGAAGGGGGAAGCGAGGAGAAGAACCAAGGGGGTCAGACTCTAAAGGACCTCCTAGGTGATGTACTGAGCATGTGCTTTGTCCTAGAGGCAAGGCAGGGGTGGCACAGGGTCAAGGTCATTTCTGGGACACTGAACATGGGAATCACTGGGAGCAAAGCCCTACAAAGGGAAATGGTAAGAAGGCAAGGTGGACAGCAGGTTACTGCAAACATCCAGAGGACAGCTGGTGAATGCCAAGAGCCAGCAGGCCAGTAGGAAAGGAGGGCAGCAGAGAGCCAAGGAGGCACCACCATGATTAAGCATACAGGCAAGTAATAAGCAAGGGCAGGATCAAAGCCAGGTGAGGGGGTAGTGTGGGGAATGAAGTGCAGGGGCTCATCTGCCAGAAGGTCAGGACCTGAGAGAAGGCGGTGCACACGCCTCCTGATATCCACCAACCACACATTGCTGGGGGAGGAGGGGTGCAGAACCAGCATAGGAAGAGGCAGGACCCACCATTTAAGGAACATTCGGAGGGAGTCCTTCCGGAGACAAGGCTGTTCTTCAAAGATCTTTTCCTTGAGAACCAGTCCTTTGCTGTACCGGCAGTCCTTCTCCAAAGCTTTGCAGATGAAGTAGAGACATGCTGGCAGGGAAAGAAACAATACGACCTCTGAGCTTGCACCCCAAACCTCTGGCCTTCCCAGTTAACACCAAGAAAATGTCCCTACTCTGGAATGGAAGTAATGATGGTAAACAATAAGGAGACACCACTTTACCTAATTCAATCAGGAAAGATACTGAAAATACTATCACCCACAGTAGATGAGGCAAACCCAAATGCCGCTATGTGAGGACGGACTGTATGATCTTTCTGGAGAACCGGAGGCGTTACACACAAACCCTCGGCCCAACAATCCACCTCTGGGAACTACTGCAAACACCTAAAGGCCCACAGTGATTGGCTACTGGCTAACCGGAAGACAGCCTTCAAAAAAACCAGGAAACCACCCTGCCTCACCAGGGGAGCCTAGTTAAGGAAGGCTTCCCCAATCCACACACTGGGTTGCTGAGCGGCCGCCACACAGATGGTCGAGAGTGTGCTCACTGACCAGAGGAAAGGCCACAGGACAGCATGGGGAGAAGGCAGGAAACCAAACAGGCCACACGGTGTGACTCCATTTGTATACATAATACCAGCTTCTGTTCCTTCTGCTTATCTGTATTTTCCAATTTTCCTCCTTCTCTTTTTCTTTTCTTTAAACTCTCCTTACCAAAAACAGCTACTGCTTGTAATTAAATACATGTACACCATTCATGTCAATGAGCCTCCTCAAATCAATGATCTGGAAAGTCTGTGCCTTCTCCAGCTCCTCCAGGACTAGAGACAGTAACAGGCAAAGCAACATAGAGAAAAAATGGGAGGGCGAGAAATCACAAAGCAGAGCTACGATGTGAACTAGGAAAACCTTTAGCATTTGTAAGTGGGATTAGCCCAACAGACAGGACTGCCATGAGTCCCCAGCAGACTCGGTGCCTGCAGGCCTCACCTGTGAACACACAGGGAAATGGTACAGTGCAGCCAAGTGCCAGCTCTGCTTTTGCTGGGCACTTGGACCACTACCGTGCTCTGCTCAGCTTCGGGATCTGAGTGTGGATGGATTGCAAGACACTCCTATCAAGAATAACCAGACAAAGAAGGAGCCAGGACTAAGGAGGAAAGAAAGAGCAGAAGTAGAGATGTGGGCATGGGAGCTTTGAGAGACAGAAGGAAGTGGTGTCCTCCTAGAGTTCCATAGGAGGAGAAAACAGAGCCTGGTCACAAAGTTCCACAGGTACCACACTGCCCCCCTGCAAGGCACACGAAGGCTGTGCAATCTGTGAGCAGGAAGGGCCCAGGTAGTCCCAGCATAGCACAGAAAGCAGCTGACTGAAGAGCTGCTAGATAGCCCGCAGGCTCCTGCCCCACACAAACAAGAACATGGTCTCTCTGGGACCACAGACACCACAGACACCCAGAGAGAAAACCAAGGAGGCCCTGAGCATTTGACGATGCTGGCTCTCAGCAGGCATTCTGGCTGCAGTAAAGCTCACCGCTCTAGCTGCACTACACCACTGTTCCCACAGAGGGAAGGCCTAGGAAGTCCCAAGGGAACAAGAGGTGGTCAGCAGGCATCAACCCCAAGCACCCTGCCTCCTCATCTCAAGTGGATTAAGTGCCGCTGGGAGTTGATACCACATGCTGCTTTTACTTTGGGGTTTCAATGAGCATCAGGTCAATCAGGGCAGGGCTCTCCCAGACAGCACAGCCATTCAGTCCCCCAGGCCTATTTTCCCCCAAGGACAACTTCTCTCACCGTGAGAGAGGAGTGCAAAGAACTAAACCAGGTGGCTGGGGAAAAGGAAGGCAGAACACAAGCCTGTCCACCTCAAGGTGGCACCCAAGCTGCTGGAAAAGCTTCCAAGAGGAGCTTAAACACCCTTGGAAGAAGAAGCTGTGAGGGTCCAAAGGTGCCCCACAAGGACTCACATTCTGCTAGCGGGGGGTGAAAACTGCGGCAACCGACAAAACAAGTGCTCTGTCCACCAGCGGATGCACACAAGAACATTCACAGCAGTGAATGCAAAACCTCAACTCTGGAAACGACCCAGTGTACAAGCACAGAATGGTCAAATTGTGTACACACATAACAGATGACAGGGCAATAAAAAGGCCCTAGCGACTGCCTGGGTGCACTCATGGACAGGAAGACCACAGTCACAGGAGCCAGGCTGTGAAGGGTACATACCGCCATCTGATGCCACACAGAGGAGGCTTGACAACAAGCAGAGCTCATCTCTGGTGAGTGACAAAAGGGAGAAATCAAGATCACCTCTGGGGTGATAATGACTGGAATGGGACCCAAAGCAGCATGCCTTCTGGGGCTCTAGAAACAATCTGCATCTTGATTTGTTGTATGTATACACACTGTGCACTGTGTGTGTGTTCTACTTCAATTAAAGAGCTTTAAAAAGTGGTTGTGAAGAACCAGAGGTGGACAATCGTGAGCAGGGCCTAGTGCTTCTCAAAATAATCCATGCTATTTGTCTTTAAAAAAGGGAAGGGAAAGGGGCGCCTGGGTGGCTCAGTCAGTTAAGCATCTGACTTCGGCTCAGATCATGATCTCACAGTTTGTGGGTTCAAGCCCCACATTGGGCTCTGTGCTGACAGCCCAGAGCCTGGAGCCTGCTTCAGATTCTGTGTCTCCCTCTCACTCTGCCCCTTCCTGGCTCGCACTCTGTTTGTCTCTCTCAAAAATAAATAAACACTTAAAAAAGGGGGCAGGGGAGGAGCCTCTGCCAGTCAGTCTTCCAGGCTTAGAATGATGGCAAGTGCTCATCAGCATGTTTCTCCTAAAAAGAATAGCAGCTCAGCCACATACAGAGCACCTTCACACACCAGACCAGCCTGCAGCAAACACAGTCAGCTCACAGAGCCCTGGGCTCCCACTGCACTCAGCCCTGCTCTGAGCACTCCTGGAGAGCCTCTTTCCGCTCTGGCCTCAGAGGACACCCAGAGGATGCTAACTCCCAGAACACCTAATCAGTGCCTGCCTCAGGACCAGCCCATGCAAGGGACAGAGGTGTTCTCTGCAGAGCAGATGTCAAGGCTGGAGCAAAGGAGCTTAAGCAATTAGAGGGCAGACTGGGGCTCCATCTGGCAGAGACCTTCCCAGTAGCCCTGCTGCTCTGCAAAGGAAGAGACTGCCTCCAAGGACAGTGAGGTCCCAGCACCAGAAGGAGTCAAGCGGCAGCTGCTAGGCTCTCTGTCAGCAAGTTATAGAAAGAGTTTCTGGCACAGGATGGGACAATGCAAGGATGAAATGAGATAACCAAAGGAAAAACCACTCAGAGAACATGCCACCTATTACTACAATGCTCTTGATAAATCTCATTTGAGTAAGACAGACACACGCAATAAAGCAGGAATGCAAAGTCATCTCCCTTTCCTGATAGTTAGGCAGAAAGCCCTTCAGTGTTAACCTGGCCTCCAACTTACCCAAGCTGTTCTCCCTCCTCTGTCCCAAAACCACAAGCACATGGGAGAAAGCCATCAAAGCCTGACTCACTTGTGTAATCACTGAGGGTGTACAGGACAGTGATGAGGTTGTCCAAGCAGGGCCAGTGGTCAGGATTGCACCGGAGCCCTTCCTCAAAAGCGTGGCGAGCCAGGGGGACCCGGATGAGCCTCAGGGCCACGTGTCCAATTTTATACCAGAGGTTGACATCCGTGGAGTCCAGCATGACTGCCTAGAAGGAGCACAAACAGAGTGTATTCACAGTCAGTCAGCTCTCTTGCTGAACAGGCACCCAGTGGTGATGGGAGGGACATAGCACTGGCCCAGCCACTCAATCTACCCAGAAAAAATGGCAAATACAAGGTACATGAATCAAATGATCAAATTCAGAACATTTTCTTGACATACTTTATCTCTCTGAACATCTGTATTCCTTACATAACTGATAGATAAAAGAAGCGAAATTACCATTAAAATAGGTGATCTGTGGGGTATTTCTATTAGATTTAAAATTTTAATTTAATTAAAAAAAAATTTTTTTTTAACGTTTATTTATTTTTGAGACAGAGAGAGACAGAGCATGGACGGGGGAGGGGCAGAGAGAGAGGGAGACACAGAATCGGAAGCAGGCTCCAGGCTCTGAGCCATCAGCCCAGAGCCCGACACGGGGCTCGAACTCACGGACAGCGAGATCGTGACCTGAGCTGAAGTTGGACGCTTAACCGACTGAGCCACCCAGGCGCCCCATAAAATTTTTAATTTAATTTTAAATTGTGGGATCCTAGAAAGATTATAGGCTAGAGACAGACCTCAGTTCACATCCCTGTTTCTACACTGACTAGCAGAGTGATCCCGAGCCTCAGTCCCCTCATCACTAAAATGAAGATGAAGACACCTTCCTGCAAGATGGTGCAGAGTTAGCACATGCATGGAGAGCAGTTCGCATGGTGTAGAGCACATCAGGGGTACCCACCGAGACGGTGACGGTAACACAGAAATCATGGCGATATGGCAATGAGCAGGAGCAGGGTACCAGGGGGCAGGCTGTGCTCTCATAACTTGTGTATGTACCAATTCATTTAATTTTCATAAACACCCTCCTTCTTACTATGCCCACCATCCTGGTATGGACCTGGAGGCCCAGAGAGGGTACGCACACACACCTGAGTGGCAGAGGATGAACGCACATGCGGGCCCCTGCTCTCTCTGAACTCCCTGTTACCACCTGCTGATGAAGGTCTCAGGCACCACAGCTCAGCAATGCGCCACTACAAGTTCTTCAATTTAGCCAATAAGACCACAACCTCACCCCCTCCACCGAGAGCTTTCAAAAACCCTGAGGGAGCTGAGCGCTGCCAAAACCACACCTCCAAGTAGAATTCCATGGCTGTCTCCAGGTCTTCTCGCTGGGCTGCCAGCTGGGCCAGGTTCTTATATGTGGAATATTTCAGCATCAGCCCAGGGTGCTTCAACCCTTCTTTCTCATCACCAGACGAAACTGCCTATAAACAAAAACAGAGACACCTAGAAGGGACACCTAGGCCTTGAAGCCTCGGCAGGCAGTCAGCAGGATACCTGACTTCCGGGCTGGTCTCTGCCGCAGGCCCTTGGCCCAGTCCGGTGGCACCATCCATTGGAAAATGAAAGCACTACGCTAGATGTTCTTGGGGGACCCCTCCAGCTCCAAGCAGACAGAGAAGAAAAGTCAGACCACCACAAGGCAGTTTGCAGATAGTCTGGGAACGAAAAGAGACAGGGGGAACCCTCCCTATCGCTACAGCCATGCCCGAAAGGTCAAGCCTGGAGCCCACAGCTCCCCCACATCACCAAGCCTACAGAGGGGGAACAGGGCATGAGGAAGCCACCTAGGGGCAGCAGCAGGATCTGGAGGTGCCTAGGCAGCCAACTAACACATCTCTACACATTCCGCAGCAGGAAGACTATTGGATTAGGAGGCAGGAAGCTAAGCTCCCACCTCTGTAATCATCACATGACTGTGAATAAGTTACCTTAACTAAAAAGTTAGTGCCCCAAGGGCCTCTGATTTATAACAGTAAATCCTACCCTAAGTATCAAAAGTGCAAACGAGACAGGAGAACGTAAAGATTGTAAACGTGCTTTATATAGAAAGTTACTTCACTACAGCTTTTATGAAAACTCTTTGAAAATGCTACAACTTCTAAGACATCCCTGATGAGACAAACTACTGCTCTAACCATGGGACAAGGAGTAAAACATTTACTAACAGAAAAACTCGGTGGCGCAAAGAAATTCTTTCCAGGGGCAGGTCCAAATCCCAGCCTTGTCCTGGGACAGGTCACCCCCACACATCATTCTTCATGGTCAGGACAGATAAGATCTGAGGACATGCACACTTTAGGACACAACCCTTGACTAATCCCAAGAAATCTACCCTAGTGTCTTAAGGAATTGCAACAAGAAGACTGAAAGGCTCAAATCAGGCTTCATTCACGATCTTCTCCTGTCGTCTAGCTTATGCTGCAGAAAGATTCCCAACGACAGGGTGACCAAGGCTGGACACCAGGTACCTTTGCCCTCCAGGTACAGAACTGTTCAAAAGCCCTTTTACAGAAGCTGTGTGAGTCCACCCTGGATAGATAGTAAGTGGTACATCCAGACACAACAGAAGCTCTTGTCACTAACCTCCTACTTAACCAGCTGGACTCAGCACCATTCTCCATCCTCCGTGACATGCAGGCTGATGCCACAGGAGACAAAGAGCTCGCCCCAACAAGCCACCACCAGCATGTATACCAACTAAGCTGTCTACTTCTTAGGATTCAGCTGTGTTCCATGACCTGTTTATGCCAAGTGTTTGTGCTACTATAACTACATAATTTAGTTTTTAGGTACACCAATGCCTGATGAATGTGAAAACAAACTTCTCTGTATATTTTCTGTACTTTTTGATTGTTTATGGTGACCACCTTTTACTTTTATAAGCCAGGGAGGAGAGTGCTACAGCAGTCATTTAAGACTGAAATTGATATACAGAGAGATGGACACAGCTATGGCTACAAGGCCGACATCCGGCCAGCACCCTTCTGACTCGGTGCTGTGCTCACCTGCTCACACCTCTGAGGCCCACTCTTCTGTGGTCTGAGGGAAGATCCACTCCTGAAACATATCCAGTCCCTGGCCCATGGCTGAAGTTCGGTAAAGTAGAATAGTCATTTTCATCTCTGGGCCCTCACTCACTTTCTACTAAAGGGGGAGGTATGGATCGCAATTCCCATGGCCCTAATTCTAAGACGCTATAACCAGCACTAAAGAATCCTGACAAGCTATCCAATTAGGAACATGAACAGATACCTTGAGTAAGAGAACGGATAGACTCCTCATACTGACAATTAGAACTCAGTTAGCATTTTGCCTCATTAGTGGTAGAAACTATCCAGGGGTAGGGACTTGAGACACAAGTGTTTGTCTTCCTAGAGGTATAGGAGACTGCTCAACTGAAGGACTGTGTTCTAGAAAATGTCCATGGATAGCGTCTGTCTGCTTCCTTATTGCATGTCTCTGTGTTTGGTGTTTGGCTACTTGAAAACAAAACCTTTCCTCCTAATGAAATATAATTCTTCTTAAATCAATTTTAAGTTGAGACTCATTTTCAAACCTCCAGGCAACATCTCCATGACCCAGTCAACTCAGGTTGAACTCACTCATCACTAGCATGGCCCCAAGGCTGGATCCAGGTCCTGCCCTGCCTATCCCTCTCTGCCCATACCCTGTGTCCTCAGCGCGCCTCTGTGTTATTTTTCCAGCCCTTTCTCCAACTGTTTTTCAAATGCCCACAGAGCATCTACACAGGCTTTCTGAGCTCATGGGCTATCACCCAAACGGCATTTGCCAAAATGTGTTGCCAACAGGATCATTAAGTATCAGGAAACCATAGGTTCCAATCCTGGCTCTAATGCTTCACTAGTTGGATGGCTTTGAGCTATCAACACTTCACTAAGCCTCCATTTCCACAACTGTAAAACGGGGACAATAGCCCCCACCAACTTGGCAGAGAAGTTGTAAAGAAAATGTAATAAAATAGCCGACAAAGAGTTCTTACTATGCACCAAAAACCACTCTAGATGCTTCACTGAATTCACTCAACCTTCAGGGAATTCACAGCAATCCAACGAGGCTGACACTCTACAGGTGGGAAAGCTGAGGGGCAAAGAGGGGAGGTAACATGTCCAAGGTTGCCCAGCCAAGAAGTGGGAGGGCAGAGGGCAAGCCCACCACCTGGTCTATGGTGCCTCACCTCTCGCAGCAGGCGTGCCTCCAGGAGTTCATGGTAGGCCTTGGCTGACTCCTCAAACCGGTCATGTTTCTGGAGGTCCAGGGCCTTGTGATACAAGGCAAAAGCCTCTGCTTCCTGGGAACCAAGATAAGAGATATTCTCACACAGTATAAAGGTTTGTCATTTTTTAAGCCAAAAGTGTGTGTAAGGGAGACTGCAGTCAAGGCCATGTTAACTGACAGCTATAACCTCTGTAGTGGAAACAATTCTAATACTCCAACCTCCCAGGAGCTCATTACTAAGAGAAGAACCCCTCAGGAGTCCCCCAAGGAGACAGGAGCAACACAGGCTCAACTGAGTCTAAGCAATAGCAAAAAAACACTGGCCCAGGGACACAGGGTCACAGCAACAGCAAGGTTATAAACTCAGCTGGACCTTTCTGGGTGAAGCTGGGAGAGTGGCCTCACCAGCCATAATAACCCAGTGATTCCTAGAGAATAGATGGTTTCCATTGTTTTCTCCCTGCCACTCTGCCCTAGCCTCATCATTGCCCAGGGAGGGTGACAACCTCCTCCAGGACAGAGGGGGCACTGGGCAGGCTGGGCCCCACTGACATCCCTTGAGGACCAGGGATAGAGGACTAGCAGACTTTTGAAAGGGCTCCAGACTGCCTTGGTTTCTCCTGTGAAAGAGGAGGCACATGTTTATTCCAGGAAAACCCAAGGCAGGAAGAAGAAGCGAACCACTGCTATACTAAGGCAGGACACCGGTGGAGAGATGGATGGATGGATAGATGAATGGATGGATGGATGGATGGATGGGAGGATGGGAGGATGGGAGGATGGGAGGAAGGGAGGAAGGAAGGAAGGAAGGAAGGAAGGAAGGAAAGAGGCAGGCTGAAATGGAAGGAATGCCAGGCTTCATAGTAGAGAGGAAAGACCAAGAATCCAGAGAGCTGAAGTTGAACCTGGCCCCCGACCAACCCCAATCAAGGCAGCTCCCATCAAGGGCCTCCTCACATTGGAAAGTGAGGACAGTATACCAGGAAACCTCAAAGCACCATCTACCATTAATATGCTACCATCCCTTGGGTGCAATCCCTGAAGCGTGCACAAAGAATGGGTTGCATGGAAAGCTAGCCCCAGCTGGGGAAGCGGGCCCAGGAGCTGGACTGGTCCAAACACTGCTCATAGAATACAGAATTTCTCTTCAGTGTGACCATCTCTAAGTGAAGCAGGTTTAACATGAGATGGAGAACTAACCAGCTATCTTTCAAAATGGGATTTTCCTGTGAAATCCCATTAAGTCACTTGAATGCATTTAAAATGAGGTACCACCTACAGAAATGGAAAGCAAGGTCTACCTGCAGAGGAAGACCATGGATTACATACCTGGGCCTCCTTGGTCTGTGTTTTGTGGCTTTTAAAGCTTCCTTCATGATCATCCTCAACTGTAGAGCTGGCATTTAAGGCTGCAATTCGAATCTAAAAACAGGGATTTGAGGGAGGAAAAAAGTTGCTTTTGAGATGTCACTTGTCTCTTTAACAACCTACAATGAATACAACTCTGCTCTGGCACATAATCTTTTCTACCTTGAACAGCTATGGCCATCTCAGAATCTGAGTAATGAACAACAAATGATCATTGAGAAAAAAAAATAAGGACCAGAACATGTCTGGGGGGCCGTAACAATCTATCTGGGGAGCATGTCCTGGGTACTGTTCACTGCGTAAGGAACAGACTGGGGACACCCTAGCAACGGCCAGACACAATGGAAGACTCCAACAAAGCATGCTAACTTTGTACCTTTCTTGCAACTGTGATGAGGCCCTGCAAGCCACTCCAACAGAAGGTCAAATATCCTTACCCTCAAATGAGCCAAAAGCTCTCCCAGGAGGAAGGCTGCCCCATATTGAGTGTCACCTAGGAAAATGTCCCACATTCCCAGGAGCAAAGTGACAAAATAACACTGATGCCAGGAAAATAGGCAAGCACCAATCCTTACCATACTCAGAGAGCTTCACTGCTGCCACCGAGCATCACTTCCCATCACTGGCAGGGGTTGTGCCAGTCCACAATCTCCTAGACAGGAAACAAGAGAAACTGAGAGAGGGCCCAGGAAGCACCAGCAACATCATAGTTCCGGGGGCCCACCACGAAGCAGTTCCCAAGTCCAGGGGCCTGACCATCTCTAAGCACACAGGCTGGTGAGCGACTGCCTTGGGACAGCTGTGATGTCACCCAGGTCCCCAGGCCAGAGCTTCTCTCTAGCCAGATAAGACACCAGGCACAGGGGACACAGAAGAGTGAGACCAACTCCTGCCCCCCCAGGGCTCACTGCTCAGCAGAGACAACAGACCTATAAACGGTTATTTTTTTCAACAGTTGAATGAAAC